TAAGAAAAGGAGAAGTAATTATTAGTACGCAACCGACTAATTTTCTCCTAGGTCAAGCGACTTTGCTAAAAACTTCAAAATGCTCGAAACTTTTACAAAGAAGCCTACCGAAGAGTAAATCAAAGACCTAACGTTTGGAGAAGACTACTAGATTATAAATAAGACCGGTGGCAAATCTGATGGCTTTCCTGACGAATGAGAAACTACAAAACTGAGGGATAAAAGTGAGAGTAAAAACTCGCGCGAAGTATGGAAAAAAAACCTGAGGCGCTTCTTCAACACTGATTTGGGGAGAATCGGTAACAGTAACAGGCAACTCAGGTGGCGGATCCGTCTCTGAATTCTTTTTCTGCACATCCGTCTCATCGTGCGCCACCTGTCAAAAGCAAGTCCTCGTGAGGGCTCGAGCGAAAACTTGCACAAAATCATCTTTAGAGAACAATTTTTATGTAGACTACAGTACCTGGATGGAGTCATCAGAAGGAATTTCGTCAGAAACAAAGCCGGCCGTCTTGGCTTTTTCAGGTTTTAAACCTTTCCGGAACATTGGTGGTACTTCCTGCGTGCTGATAGCAAGATGTTCATCTAACAACAAATTTGCGCGTATCACAAGCGCATCTATAATGACGCTTTGCCTTGACTCCATTTCTCTGAAATAAAAAAGAGGACATAACTAATAAATAAAAGGTTCCCTATGTTTTAAAAACTTGAAAAATACGCGCGGAAAAGTTGTTCAAACTGATACCAGCCCTAGAAATTGAACTTTTCAATAAAGGATACAACGTTAAAGGACTAGTAAAAAGTAAGATAAAAACTACAAAGCGGCTAAAACCAATAACTGTTACGCAAAGTAGAAGCATATAAAAGCATACGACTTTTGTGAAACATCACATTCTTTGCCTTCTTCCTTCAAACCAAGATATTTTAGCGCTTCGTCTGGTTTAGAAGTCTCCAAAATTTTTTCGATTAAAGACAACGTTTCCTCACGGTGGCTTGCAGCTTCCTGTAATCAGGTTTATAAAATAATACTTTCTGAGTAGAACAACAATTTTATGTATATATATGGGCAATTCTACGCCAAATCGCACACCTTTAACAAGTGACCCCTCAAATTTTTTTCATTTTTTGCTGATTAATAAAAATCTAGGCCAGCACAAAGAAAGCCACAAAGAAAACCTGGAAAAGTCAATTCCCCGCCAAGTTACACCCCCTCAAAGTTGCAAAATTTGCCAGGTTGCCGCCTGACATGCCTAACTTTGCAGACCTGTAAATTAGCCTGTCCTTAACAAAATTTATCGTATTTCTCATGTCCTGAACTTCTGAAAGAACGTTGAATAATTTCATTCCAATAAAAATTCACAAAGATACAATAATAACAAAATTTCAGACAAACATTGAAAAAAATCTTTAAATTTCTCTCTGAATTTTTCAAAAAAGACATATTTCGCGTAGGATTTTTTTCTCTACAATATATCAGAATTTAGTGATGGCAATTTTTTGATATCGAGAGTTGTGAGACGGGAAGCAATGTGAAGCTGAAAAAACCCCACTATTTCTACAGTAATCCCATGTATTTTACAGTGGCGAAATCATTCGGAGCCGCTTGTAAGGGTCGCAGCTGGCAGCTACGAATATCCCGTATGCTTTAAACGTTGAAAATTCGCTACCAAAATTGTACTTTACTTTGATAATATTAACAAATTAGTATTCCGCAGACTTGTAAGAGATAGGTTTTAAAACATACGGGATATTTGTAACTGCAAGGTGCGACCTTCAAAAGCGGCTCCGGATGATTTCGCCACTGTAAAATACATTCGATTACTGTAGAAATGGTGGTTTTTTTTTTCAGTTTCACACTGCTTCCCGACTTGTGACTTTCGATATCAAGAAATCGTCATCACCAAATTTTGATATGTTGTAGAGGAAAAAATTCTACACAAAATGTATCTTTTTAAAAAAATTTAAAGAGATTTAAAGATTTTTTTTAATGTTTGTTTGAAATTTTTTTTTATTGTATCTTTGTGAATTTTTATTGAAATGAAATAATTCAAT